CCGCCTAGGAATGTTTTGAGAACTAGAATTCTGTGTGTATAAAAAGCCGCTGCTCCTGTAGAAGGGGCAGGAGGTCAATATCATTATCACGTCTTCATTGTACCCGACTGCGACGAATAAAGGATTAGTGCAGAAGATTTTGTACATGGTGCATCGGATCCAAAAGAAGAACATCGAGCCGTCGCGAAGAGGAATCACCGAGAAAAACTACTGAAGCAGTGGAAAAGAACTTCAAAAACCATAGCGAAGGAACGGGGTCAAGATGACGTCGTCACTCTCTACACGACAAAGTCTACTAACCAGAATGGCAGGAAAACTCTCATCTCTGCTGGAAGAATATGAGAGAGAAGTCGAGGTTGAAAGCCAAGTACCGCAAGAAGAAGCTGAACGAAGGATGCAAGAACGACAAAACAAACTTCACATGCAATGTCAGAAGAAAAAATTGGAAGTGGCAGAAAAGAACCTGAACAAGATGCTAGACGCGTACACAGCAGCCGCAGACGAAATGAATAGTGATACTCCGCAACTCCAAGCACTCCTTGAAAAGGTGTCAGCCAACTCTCAAACAGCGCAGGAATTGCTAATAAGGGCACAAGAAGCCATACTCGAACTCGACTTGCGCATAGAGACAAATAACCTGTTAACAGCTACAGAACCAAGAGAATCGACAGAAGAATCCACTCGAATACAGCTTGCTCCACTGCCCATTCCTAAGTTTGGAGGAAAAGTGTGGGAATGGGAGAGTTTTTGGAGTGCCTTCGAGCATTCAGTTCATTCAAGGAGTATCGATGACGCGTACAAGATGTACTACTTGCTCGACGCACTGACAGGAGAAGCAAGAGAATCACTAAAACAATTTGAAGTCAGCGGAAGAACATACGCGCTGGCAATAGAACATCTCAAGAAAAAGTACGGAAATAAACAACTTCTTGTGGGAGAACTCGTTGATAGGCTAGAAAAATGCCGAGCCAGAACGAAGAGGTTAGAAGACCAGCGACGTCTACACGAAGAGATTTCGTCGATCGTGATCCAGATGGAACTTCAAGGAGAAGTCATTGATAGCTCAGTGCTTCAAAAACTGATCCTATCAAAATTCGCAGAACCGGTACAAAGACACGCATTACGGAAGAAGCAAGAAATCAAAGAAGGAGAAACATGGAACACGAAGATGCTCCTTCAGGAACTGTCCGACAAAATCCACTCGGAAATAGAAATTCACCGCCACATTCGAAGTGACGAAAATCGTCCGAGGAAAGAAACAGAGCTCAACTGGAACAACATGCAAGAAAGAAAGAACAATGGCGCAATCTACCGTCAACAGCCAGACGATTTAAAGTCATTTCCTTGCTTCTACTGTGATCGAAAAGACCATACTCCAAAGAAGTGTCCGGTGTTTAAGACGCGAGAAGACAGATTGGAAGAAATGAGAAAACGATCTCTATGCAGAAATTGCGGATCGGCAAATCATATGGCGCGACAATGTACCAGAGGCCCATGCCGGCTTTGTGAGAAGCATGGACACCATACATCGATTTGCGCTAAAACACTTCCATCGGACAAGAAAATCGGCACGACAACAACCACAAGAAAGCCAAAAATCAGGGCGACGGAAGCCCGACCAACGAAACAGAATCTCCTGTCAACTGCAGCCGCACCGACAGAGGAAGAGAAACCGCAGGAAAGCAGTTTTGAAACGAGCCTCTGTATGAAAACCGCGGAAGAAGGTACCAAGAATTTCGTCCTTTTGGGAGCAGCTTTCGCTCAGAACACAGCAACGTATAATATGGAACGAGTGCACATCCTGCTCGACACGGGAGCAGATCGATCGTTCATCACTCAAAGCCTAGCAGATCGCCTACACCTATCCACGCAGGATACAGTTACGCTCAGGATCAGCACCTTTGGATCTCAGGCACCCATTGAGAAACAATGCGGGATCACAAACCTCCAACTGTGGGATCCTTTGGGCAACGCTCACTGCTTCTCGGTCGCTATCACCGAGTCAATAATGGAGCCGTTAAGGCAGGACAAATTTACAAAGGACGACATTCAATTCATTGCGGATCACGGCATTCAGTTGTCGATCCCAGCTCATGAGCAGCAGGCACATCCCGAGGTTCTCTTGGGATGCAGCGACGTATTTTCGCTACTCCAAGGAGGCAACCAACAGATCTGGCAGCTACCGTCGGGAATTAAGCTGATTCCGTCTCACATCGGATACCTGGTGGCCGGAAGGCGACAGGACGAAGTCGTGAAAACAATGGCAGTCGTACAAGCCGAAGAAGAGGAAAAAGAGGGAAGTATACGAGAAAAGTGGGAACGCTTTCTAGCCTTTGAATCAGCAGGGTTACACGATTTCTCGGGAACTCAAGCCCAAGAACAAAAACAAACAGACCGAGCGGTATGGGAAGCATTCGAAGCAACAGTTACACGCGAACACAACGGATACCACGTTAGACTTCCATGGGCAGAAGAAGCTATCAAACTACCGGACAACAAGACTCTGGCATACAAGAGGCTGTGTTCAACATTGGAACGTCTCAAAGAGACGCCGCAAGTTCTCGAGCAGTATGAGCAGAATTTTGCGGAACAGATCAGCAAGGGGATACTCGAAGAAGTACCCGACAAGTTCACTAATCAACAAAACAGAATTCACTACCTCGCCCACCAAGCTGTACTGACTCCGGATAAGGAGTTCACGAAGCTTCGAGTTGTGTACGACGCGTCAGCACACCTTAAAGATCAGCCATCACTGAACGATGCGCTACAACGAGGCCCGGTCTTACTTCCCACAATGCTCCATATGTTACTACGATTTCGAATCGGACAGGTAGCGATTACCGCAGATGTCGAAAAAGCTTTCCTGCAAGTGCACCTACACAGACAGGACCGGGACGCTGTAAGGTGCCTATGGTTGCGCGACACATCCATTCCGCCAACGGGGGACAATGTCGCAGAATACAGGTTCACACGAGTGCCATTCGGATTGAAATGCTCACCATTCTTGTTGGGGGCAACCATAAAACATCACCTCAGCTCACACGAAAACAAGGAACTGGCACAAGAAATTCTGAACAACGTCTACGTCGACAATGTCATACTCACTGCCACAACTAAAGAGGAAGCTTGGCAGAAGTATACTCAGTCAAAAGCTATGTTCAAGGAAATGAATATGAACCTAAGAGGCTTCCAAACAAACAATGCAGAGGTGAATGCCAAGATCCCGGACACCGATCGAAGCACAAAAAAGATATCAAAGGTTCTCGGAATTGTCTGGGACTCAAACGACGATCAAATCCACATCAGAGTTTCATTGGAGGAGAAACCACGATACACGAAACGTTCAGTTTGCGAACAAATTGCATCCATTTTCGATCCTATGGGATGGCTTACACCGGTCATGGTACAAGGAAAACTCTTCCTACAGGAACTGTGGCGACAACAATACGACTGGGACACAATTCTCGCTGAACACCACGAAAACGAATGGAGAAGAATCGTGGCAATAATCTCTGGATGTGAATTTCAACTCCCACGAATGGTGCTACCAGAACACTCGCAAGCAATTCTGGCGATATTTGCAGATGCAAGCTGCAAGGCTCTTGCCGCATGTGCATATCTCGTTGCCGGAGGCGAATCTCATTTGATGTTTGCCAAATCACGACTTCCGAATGCAAAAGATTCGCCAACCATTCCGAAGATGGAGATGAATGCAATAACTCTCGCAACAAGGATAGCATACATGCTGTATCAGGCGTTAGAAAGCAAAATTACAATCACTTCTATTAAGATATTCTCCGATTCTCAAATATCGCTCAGCTGGCTGGCCACCAATCCAATTCGGAAGGAAGTTGGAGTCCTTGTGAAGAACCGGGTAACCGAAATAAGAAACACGGTACGACTAATGGAAGTACCAGTCCGCTTTGGATACGTCGAAACCGCAAAAAACCCAGCAGATTGTGCGACAAGAGGATTGACAGCAGAAGAAATGAAATCGCACACATGGTGGAGGGGACCGGAATTTTTAAAGTACCCCGAGGACGCAGGGGATACGCCCTACAACACCTTCGAACTTCCCGAAGACGCTGAAGGAGAGAGCGTCGACATCAGCAATGGAAAGAATGAAAATCAAAGTACATGCATGACTGCATCAACTAACCAGGTCGCTGAAGAACTGCTGGACTGGAAAAGGCACAATACCCTGGATACCGCGCAATCAGCGGTAGCCTACGCACTACGATTCCTTCAAAGAGTCACCTGCAAGTTAAAGACTGGTTTGAAGTCCAGAATCGAAGAAAAGGTTCCAGAATTACGCGAGAGACACGACTCGACATATATTACTGCACGAGAAAGAAACAATGCAATGGAAGTGATAATCAGAAATCATCAATGTATTCATGTGAACGACAACCTGCGCAGATCAACAAAAAATCTGAATCTGCAGGAAGATAAAAAGAAGTTGTTGCGATGTAATGGACGATTTGAAGAAGCCAACATGCCCGAAAGTAGGAAGAAACCACTGTTCATCGTCGCAAAGACACCACTCGCGCAGTGCATAATACGACAGGCCCATCTTCCAGGTCATTTGGGCACATCGCACACCATGACGAAAATCAGAGAACAATTCTGGATTCCCAAGTTGAGACAGCAAGTGCAAAGTCATATTCGAAGATGTATGCAGTGCCAAAAAATAAACAACCTCCCTTTCCGATACCCGGCGATGGGACCATTACCAGCAATGCGGGTGGTAAGAGCAAAACCATTCGAGAACGCAGGAATCGACTACTTCGGACCGTTGACAGTGAGAGAAGGCGACAAAACGGAAAAAGCATACGGCCTCATCATCACGTGTATGATAACTAGATTAGTTCACATAGAAATCGTGATGGATATGTCAACGACAAAGTTGCTACTGGCCCTTCGAAGATTCATTGCACGCCGCGGAGTCCCATCCCGAATAATTTCGGATAACGGACCGTCCTTTATACTGGGCGAAGAAATCCTACGACGAGCAGTCCAAACGGTCACAAGCGACGGTTGTTTCCTATCGAACATGGCGAGAAAAGGAATCGAATGGACAACTATCACGCCATATGCTCCGTGGCAGGGAGCTGTATATGAGCGATTGATCAAGTCCGTCAAACAATCCTTTTACAAGACGATTGGTAACCGGATTCTAACCGTGGACGAACTCGTAACCATAATGACAGAGGTTGAAGGAAGCTTGAACAGTCGACCTCTGACTTACCAGGGAGAGCTATATGACACCAAACCTTTACGACCAGTGGACTTCATAGTAAAAGATATAGAAATATCATACCCTTTCGAAAATTTACGAGAAGACGATGACGATCCGCCATACTTGCCACCATCAGAACAAATACAGCTTCAAACGAGAAGACAAGCTGAAGCTGCGCTATTATCAACACAAAAATACACCGAACAGTTTTGGGCAACATGGCAAAAGTCATATCTGAACGATCTTCGAGAGTCACACAAGCTCCGAATGGACAACAGGCGAACGGGAACAAAATCGCCAAGAATCGGTGAGGTGGTTTTGCTCGCAGACCAGAACCTTCCCCGACACTCATGGAGAATGGGAAGAATTACAGAGTTAAAAGAGGGGAGCGATTCAGAAATTCGGGAAGCAGTTGTACGAATGCCCAACGGTAAATGCTTGAGGCGACCGGTCAACCTTCTAGTTCCTCTTGAGCTCGAAGATAACACAATATCATCAACGGATGCATGCGAGTCAATGAAAGAATCACCAAGCTCACCGCCAAGAGAACCCCACAAAGAAGAATCAGGAAAGAAACACCACCATCTTCGTAAACGTCAAAGAATCAACTATAATGAAGAGGAAGACGAGGAGGAAGAACCAAGTGGAAGTAGACGACAAAGCTACGCCATTTCGACAATACAAACATGCCTTCTGATAGTAGTTTGCCTTTTTTCACCTGGTGCTGCATGCGAAACAAAGGGAAGAAATGCAAACGAAACAAGTGTAATCGAGTGCATAAAAGGAGGGATAAGAGTCCTCAACGAAGCCGAAAAATACGAGGTGTGTTCAGAAGACTTCTGCACTCTACGCGAAAAACCGAAACCGAATGAGATCATTCTCTTTCCACCAGAAATCGCACTACATCGCCATATTGTTCAGTGGAAAACGTTGGAGGAGACCCGTATCAAAGTGATCAATATTGCGTGCCCACCGGCACCATTCTGTGAACAGGTTCAGTGCTGGTTTTGCACAGCAAACGTACTCAACCCTGAATGTAATACGACAGCAGCACTGGTAACTGTGTTCGCGATCATATACCTCTTAACAGCACTAATCTACACACTTTGTTATGTTCCACTTGTCATCGGGAAACCATGTCGATTATGTAGCCGAATAGTAATTAGTATGTTCAGACTTGCTCTTCACACAATAAGAATGATTTACCGAGCAGTAAGAGGAAGAAACCAGCGTCAAAGAAGGGATATTGAAGCGTTACTGCAGGCACCTCTGATAGCAGCGTTTCTCATCCTAACAGTGAACTCAGCAATAGCATGCCAAGATGTGGATATCTATACGCTGAAGACGAGAGTGTGTTCGGAAGGAAAGGTCCAAAAATGCTACGTAGATACGACAAATGTGATCAAGTTGAATACGTTCAATCAGGAAGCATGTTTGCGAATCACAGGAAATGGAACAACTCTTCGGCAGTATCGACTTACATGGAAAGGCCTCACCATGGACTGTGAAAAAGAGACGTTGATTTTCACAAGAAACACCATACAAAACGTGGTAGACGCGAAACGGTGCGCGCATTCGGGAAGCTGTACAGAGGGAAAATGTGAAAAGGTCAACGAAACAACGAAACTCCCGGAACTGGAACAAGGAAACACATTTCCAGGAATTACGAGATGTGTAGAGAGTTGCGGAGGACCTGGATGTGGTTGTTTTTATCTAAGCAGCGGATGTCTCTTCTATAGAATATTTCACAAACCCAATGACGACGAGATTTATGAAATATTCCGGTGCCGATCGTGGAAAGAAACTGTGGCAGTAGAAGTACGAGTCGAGAACATGGAAGGAGAATCACAAACGAAATTGTTCAACCTTCAACCAACAGTACCAACAACTGAGGGATCATTCCGGTTTACGATCACCTCCCTCAGCATCCCACCAACTCCGGCGCTCAACGCCTATTTCATAAGCAACGGCGAGGAAATAGCGCTATGGGATGAGCAACGAAAAGTGATGATGGAATGCGACTCGAAAGACGATGCAGAACGTTTAAACTGCACCGTTTCACATAACTGCCAATGTCAGCCCGCCGAACTCAGGATAATGTGTAGCTGCATAGACTACAATATCACGGCGGCATTTCGAAATCAACTCGAAAATCGCCTACCAATCAGGCAACCATGGGGAGGTTTCGAAATATCAGAGAAATACGAGAACTCTGTGAAGGCGAGAATTCCCAGACTAGTTACAGCAGAATTGCTAGTCACTATAAAAGAAAACATACACCTGGTAACGAAAGAAACGACAAATGCACGCTGCAAAATTCCCAATGCAATAGCTACGGGATGTTACAACTGTAAACAGGGAGCTGTAGCTGAGTTAACTTGTACAAGCAATGCTGAGCACACGAAAGCCACTGTACGATGTGAAGAATACCAGTTTTCAGCGCCATGCACAGAAAAAGGAGAGAAATCCGAATTCAGGTTCAGCTCTACGGTCGCAAGAGTAAAACTGAGATGCACGGTATCATGTGGCTCCACAGCAACAGAATTCGAAGTTACAGGAATCCTAAAATGGGTCAGAACCATTCGAGAGTCAATGCGACGCATCGTAAAAGGAGAGACTACGGTGGAAGAAGAAATAGTGCTCCCTGACTTTGGACACATACTGGACACTATCATTTCCAGCTACAGAACCGTGATGCTCACCTTCGCAGGATTTGCCATCGCCCTTGTGCTAGGATACATCTTTCTGTGGGCATGTGGATTACGACTAGTAATATCGATATCACGCTTCACGTTCAAAGTCCTACTCGGTACAGTAATCGTACCGTTCCGAATCGCCAGAAGAATCTTCAACAGAGCATTACACCGGCGGCAAAAATCCCGTCATATCAAACAGTTCTGATTCAAACTAAACTATTCCTGAGTTTCCTGAGTTTCTGAGATTCAAACGTCCGATGACTCACATAGAATCAAACTTAGAAACAACAAAGAAGAAAGACCAAGGGAGAGACAGCCATATCACCGGCTCCATCGCAGCTTCACGCTATCTACGACACCATCTCAGCTTGACCGCACTGTAAAAGTTCAATATAAAAGCACGAGGCACAGGACTGAACTCTCAGTCAATACTCGCCATCATCACCACATGCCGTCAGAAGAAGAAGCGACGCCCAACGCAAGGACAGAAGAAGATCAAAAGAAAATGGCAGCAAAGAATCAAGAAGGAAAGGCAAAACCTAAGAAGCGCAGCGGCAAACCTATGGAGTCGACTTCAGCAGCAAAACGAACTCGCGAAGACGGGGGGACCCCTTCCAGCTCCAGCTATGATCTCTGGAAGGACTTCTGCGAGCGAGGAACAGATGCCTTCAAAGACAACCAGAAGAAGGTCAATGTGATGGAAAGACAAGGAGCGAGCACTCGGGACAGCCACCTGCAGATGATCGACACGCGCATGGAAAAGATTGAGAAGAGCCTAGCGGATCACCACGAATTCGTCAAACAGACTGTAGCTCCAACTAACCTAGTCATCAAACCAGAGCACGTGGACGAACTGCTAAAGAGAGTCACGACGAGTTCAACCGAGATGCAGTCCAGCCTCGAAGAACAAATGGATAACGCGAAGAATCGTATCCTCATGGAAATGGATGAAATGTTCAAAGAGGTAGACCGATGCAGAACCGAAGTCGAAAGGGTCAGCAACAATGCCGTGATGCATGAAGTCAGAGAAGTGTCGATACATCTAGCCACCTTCCGAACCGAGGTCAACCAACGATTCGTGGCATTGGAAAAGAGGCTAGATCAAATGCCAGTTATCGTGTCTACGCTTCGAAGGATCGAAATGCAGTTGAAGAAGTCAGACGGAGGCGACTCAGGATCAGTCAAAGAGGAGGCGAGGAGACAGAGGACTGAGGAATCAATCCAGTTCAGTCTTCGCAACAACACCAACCTCAGTCGTGAGCCGGAACAAGAAAGGGAGAAAAGATCCAGAGAGCTCAGAAAGGAAGAATACGAAGCAGGCGAGATCAAAGAGAAGCGAGAAGACAAAGAAATCCTAGAATCGATGGCGAAGGTGGACAAAGATCTTCGTAGAACCAAACACGAGATCTTCGCTCTCAGCCACAAAATAGAAGAGTTAAGAAGAGAAGACCACAAAGCAAATGAGTCTAAAATCTACTCAATGAGGGAAAAGAAGTACGAGCTGCTAGATGAGGAAATGGCACTTCAAAGGAAAAAGGATGATCTGAAGATGGCCCTATACGAATGGACCAGAAAAAGGGACACCACGACACAACAGACAACGAGCAGAACTTTTATAGCATCAACCAGCCATCGATATCAAAGGTCAACAACGCCGCGCCATGGCAGCCAGAAGGGGTCACCGGAAAGAAGTCGTTATCGTACCCCATCGCACCGAGACTCTACCCGCAGGTCATATAGCCCTGGCTTAGGTCGCCGGGGAGTATAGAGAATATCCTAATCCTCTATTTCTTTCTCTATTCCTACTTATCCTGGAATGTATATCTGTCAATGAATCATCGTTTGAATTCTCCCAAGCTCATGCAAATGTTTATGTTAAAGGAATGTTATCTCATTGTATCCGCCTAGG